AGTATTGTAGAAGAAAATATAATGTTGAAGTTCAGCTTCATACACACACAAAAAAGTTCACTCTCATTTCCTAATGATGGTTTTCAAAGCCACAGCCTATGTGCATAAAATTTACCACTCCATTTCTGGTCCACAAGAGATCCTTGAGTATCTTCTTAGTGACTCTAATTTCCCCTCCACTAACTGCACCCTTTTGTGTCCTATGAACTATGAAGTTCATCATTTGCTCCCAGCAACCCCTGTTACCTCAGATAGGATAGCTGTCATTCTACATTCATTTTGGAGTGTATGTATTAATTAATTTATATCTGTCCATCAGCTCAAAAACCACCAACATGGGTCAGCATCAGGAGAACAGGTACCCAGGCACCCAATTTTTTTTTTTTTTGGACTGAGAATTGAAAGCCAGGGTGCTCTACCACTGAGCCACATCCCCAGCCACATCCCTGTGTATTTTATTCACAGACAGGGTCTTACTGAGTTGCTTGGGGCCTTGCCAAATTGCTGAGGCTGGCTTTGAACTCACAATCCTCCCCACTGCTGGGATTACAAGTGTGCACCAATGCGCACGACTCCCAGGCACCCATTTTTTGGTTCACCTTGAAGACCTCAGCACAGTGTCTGAACAGATGCTCAGCAAATACTGATTTAATAAATATAAAAAGCAAAAGAGAGTTAAATAAAAGAAGACAGGTCTACAAGTTCATTTTTCATTGCCAAAATGAAATATCTGAAATACTTACAAATAAAAGAAATGTATTTATTTATTTAGTTCACAGTTTTGGTGGGTGGAAGTCCAAATAGCATAGCATTGGATTTGGAGAGGGCCCCCTTGGCTGCATCACCACCTCATGGCGGATGGGAATGCACTGTATGAGGGAGAGACCTATTTGTAGGAAGTCAAAGTGAGGGGAAGGGACCAATTGGTACTTTCCATTAATCCCACCTCTTTAAGTTCCTACCACCTCTCAATACTACCATTTTGGGGGCTAAGCTCCCAACACACGAATACCTGTGGGACAGTTTCAAACTCTATCCAAATCCCAGCAACAGGAAAGAAGGTGACTTCTTTCTGGTGACTGTGATATCACAAATGTCTTGTTTCACTCTTCTTCATGGTCAAAATGAGATTATTAAGAAAAAAAAAGAAAAAAAAATTTCCTAGTATAAATTTGAAAGTAAGAAACATAATTCAAAATAATAATAATAATAATCACTACCCTTCAGATTTTTTCTCCACATATTTTGACATATTTGTTCCCAGTATGTTTTATGTATATACTTAAAAATAACTACACTTTTCTTTCCCAAATACCTATAGAAATTCATAATTATTAGAATAATAATAATTTATTAGCTAAGTTTAAGAAAGAAATTACTTTAGATATGTGGTGACCCTTGGTAATAAACAGACCTATATTTTACAACATCAGCTCCTGTATGTATGTAGAATTGTGGCCAACATATTCAATAAATGCAAGAAAAGTTTAATTTATTATCTATATTCTGTCTCCTATGCCCCAAAAGGGTATTTTAAAAATAGGATAGTCAATAGACATTTTCAAATATTAAACTTCAGATTTTATTTAAAAACTGTTTTGGAACAATGCACTTCTTCATTATAGTAGTAATAACTAAAATTTTGCCATGTAAATGTTTATATATAGAGAAATTTAGTGAATGACTCAACATTCTATCCAAAAGTTGACACTGGGTTTACTAATTGATTGTTTGTCTGAAACAAACATTTAATTTACACATGTTAATTAGAATGTTTTACTGAACTGATCAGTATTTGGCTAATTGCAAAGACACTTCAAGATTCTAACTCTAGCCCAAGTTGGTAGCATCTTGTGCCATCTGCTTGGGGTCTTAAAAAGCAAATTACATAGTCCCTGCGGGATCAGTGCTGATGTTTTGGAGGCTCTGGTCCACCTGACCAGATTGTCCCAGTTGCCAGCTAATGAAATCAGCTTCAGAATTGGAGTGACCTGTTGAGAGCCACAGCCAAAGGGGCCCCAGCAAACTTCCAGCTGCCAGCAAACTTCCAGCTGCCAGCTGATGATTGGCTCACAGCGGCCCCAGCAACATCTAGCTGATTGGCTCCTCCACGGAGCTGCTCATTGGGGGACTTCTTTGGCTCCGCCCAAGCAACCCAGCCAATCGGCCTCAAGAGTAGTAGGATTGGGGGAGGTGGAGAGGTTGGTGTGGGTGAGAGGCTTGTGGGAAGCCGGTGGTGGCAGTTGGCCTCTGAGGGTTTTTTCCTGAGGAGCTGTTTTGTTTGGTGTTTGTAGTTCTAAAAATAAAGTTAGTTTCTTTTGACAAGTGGCTCCTGAATTGTGCCCAGCCAGACTGAGGCAGTGACCCAAATGACCTTCAAATTCTCATAAATTCATTTCTGGAAAACTTTGATAAATTCTACTTTTCAATAAGTTTTTCAAATCTGGTGCTATAATACAAATATTTCAATATAACTTGCTATAGTTCCCTAGTTACCACTCTCCTCCTCTCCCCCTGCCACACACACACACACATTCTAGCAAAACAGAAGGGGAAAAATTTAAAGGAATAAAAAAATTTCAAGTTAATTGCTAATAAATAAACAATATGTTTCTAGCTTTGAAGGGTCCAATGATGTCCAACACAGACAGTAAAATCAGTCTCAGACCAAAGCCTGTTATGGTGAAATAATGAGACAAAAGAGAATTGACTTGAAGGGAAGGTTCTAAAAGCTTACAAGATTGACATAAATATATATTATATATAATATATAGTATATATATTATATATATATATCAAATGGCAAAATGTCATCAGACTTCTGAAGAACAACACTGGAAACAAAAAGGTGACATTACACTATCTCCAAACTCTGAGGGAAAATCAGTTGCAATTTAGAATTATATACTTGGCCAACCTCAGGGTGCAGGTGGAAAAAAAAATAGTTAAGTATGATGCCTAACTTGACTGGGCTGTGGACCCTGAATGGATAGAATCTGGATATTTCTGTTAAGGTTGTGCTGGGATGAGATCAACAATTAAACCAGTACACTTTACTTCTCCATAAAGTGGGTGGGCCTCATTCCATCAGTCGAATATGATGTTTTATTCAGATTGAATAAAAAAGAAAAAAAAAGAAGACTGACCTCTTTCGAGACAGAAGAAATTCTCTAACTCCCAGTCACTCAGCAGGCCAGCCAGCAGCCTTTGGACTTGAATTGTAACGTTGGCTCCTTTCTGAGTCTTCAGCTTGCCAGCCTATCCTGTACATTTTGGACTTGCCAACCTGCCTAATTGCCTGAGACAATTTCTTAAAATAGATTTCTCTGTTACATGCATACATCTCCTATTAGTTGTGTTTCTCTGGAGAACCTTAACTCAAGCAATAAGCAAGCTATCAAAATGTTTACCTTCAGTGTTCCTTTCCTTGATAAACCATTGGAAAAGGTACTCCAACAAACCATGGAGTACACAAAGAAATAGAAAGACATTGCAATCCAAGACATAAGGGAATCCCCCAGGCCAAAGGGGAAAGAGRATCCCATGATGAAACCACTGTACAACAAGACAGAGAACAGTGAAGTGAGAGCTCTAGAGAGGACACCTAAGACAGAGATAACAAGGAAGAGAGGCACAAAAGGAGGGAGAAATTCATAGGTGAAGGAAGGCTTGATCRCATCAAGAGATGGGTTTTGAGGATAAATTAATGATAGAAACACTGGCCCTCCATATGCATGGGCTGCATCTCCACGGAGTCAAGCAAATGCTGATGGAAAATACTTTTCAAAAAWATTTCATCTGTGCTGAACATGTATAGAGCTGTTTTTATTGTCATTATTCCATAAACAATACAGTATGTAGAATTGTGGCCAACACACTATACACATCGCAATAGGTATTATAAATAACCTAGAGATGACTTATAGGAAGTGCATAGGTTTTAAGCAGATGCTGCTATTTTATATRTGGGACTTGAGCATCCATGGATTTTGGAATGAAAGGGCTCCTGGACACAATGCCCCTCAGATACAAAGGGATAACCATACAAAGAAAGTGAGCACTGCAAAAAAAAAAAAAAAAAAGAATGACAATTATCTCCTGAGGAAACAAAAGTACATCTTTCCATCTTCTAACAAGAAAGGATATGTAGTCATGGCACATGACACACTTTCATGTGTGAAAAGGCAAACACCAAATTGTGATCTTACCCAAAATAACCATTAGTAAATTGGGAAGATGGGGGAAAAGGAAATGTTCGTATTTAAATTATTTTCTTTCAGAATAGGAAATCAAGAAATCAAGAGATATTAGTATATGTATTTTTTAAATGAAGGCAGTTAATAGAAAAGAAATTGTTAAATGAAGTCAAGACCATTGCCTCTTGGTAAGCACTGAGGAGCTAGAGTGGAATAGGAAATAGCCTATGTAAAATTATAATTCTGATACAAGTTAATTCTGTCCTGCACTTTAAAACATCAACCTTAGAATTCTCAAATCTTCTACCAAGATTTCTCCTGGTTTTTTTTTTTTTTTGAATGTTTAGATGCAATGCAATGCTGAGTTTCCTTCTATGACTATAAAATTTTATCAACCAAAATTAAGAAATGCTACAGACACCAAACAACTAAATATGTACAGTGTGAATTTCAGRGAGTTAAAAATTTCTGTTTACAAAGACAAATATAAATCTGTTTCATAACTCAATGAATGRTTTTTAGAATATTCTCTGTATTTGAATGATATCATATTACATGGGATTAACAATAGTTTTCTCTCCACTTAAATTTGTCTTGGGATAATTAGACTCTTCCTCTGATTGATGACCTCACAAATGCTCTACAGAACAGTGACCCCAGTTTCCTTCTGCTGATATTTTTTTTAACTCCTTTCTACTTGTTTTAGTGTTTTTTCTTCTGATTAAATGGATCTCTCATGTATCTAAGGTGAGTGTGTAGCTGAGATGGACTTTCTGTACCTACTGATTTTGTTTGACTTTACAGAAGCAAGAGCAGGAACTGGGCAGAAATGCGAGCCATGAACACAGTATTTTCCAATATCAATGCCAAGTTGGCTGAACAACTAAGCAACCTGCTCAGTGAACTTGAGTTCTGGGCAGCAATATATGAGAATCCAATGCAAGAATCAAGGACAGTACTAGGACACCAAGCCAGAGAATCTGTTATGGCAGAAGATTAAAAAGCTTTCAAAGAGAAGCAGAGAAAGAAGAAATGAGTCTGAAGAGCTTTGTCTTTGCCGAGTTCTTCAATTGTTTTCTCCTTTCAGGAAGGTTAAGGTCTCTATTTGTAGTTATCGTTCTTTCTGTGTCAATTTACTTTGTATTTAAAAGACATCAAAGAATGAACTAATATTTATCTGAATGAGGCAATGATTTTTTTAAATTACTGAAATGACAGTGATACTAGCTATAATAATTTCTGAACCTTTTAGGCTGGTAGCACATTTTTTTCTTGACGAAAGCTACAATATTATAATAGAATTTTTAAAATAAAAGCTGTTTTATTTTTATAAACTTGTGAAGAATGACTAATATTTTAACACTTCCTAGGTTCAATGAGTAGGAACAGTAACACAGATGCTCGGCACAATTAAATATGTTTACAGTGTCTTTTAAAATCAAAATCACAAAGGAGATCCATAAGCATATAGAACCCATTAAAGTATGATGAATCATTAAAAGCTACCTTTTACCAACTTAAAGTTTTTGATCCTCTAAGCTGTGATATTGTAACCTGTTGCTTTAGACTAATACACTTTCTGCCCCAGATAGAAGGGAGCACAGGAGGGAGGTTCATGCATAACGTAGGCTCAGGAGAAAGATTGCCCAAGTTCTGATCTTAGCAGCACCATTTGCTAGTTCTGTGACCTTGTAAAGGATCTCCATCCATCCTCTTAGGAACAAAATTTCCTATGTGAAGTAGGGTTAATTCATAGCAAGTACCTGATAGATTTTTTAACTGAAAGAATCTAAAATGGTACCTACCATATTATAAGCACTTTTTTAAAAAAAGGGCCACTGCTATTCTTACAGATGAACCCAAAAGAGTTCTTTAATTTTCATAATACCAGAGGTGTGAACTTCTAATTTCAGGACTTTTGCCAAGCTGTGAGACTGTGAGATGTTCTGCCAATATTTGGGAAACAAGAGAGTAAGGTACAGGGCAAATGAAAATAACAAAGATATTTGAAGTGTTCGTCCTATTCTTACCCTATCTACCTCAGTGAAACTCATTTCTGTGAATTTAATGCCCTCAGTTCTACTAGGTTTCCTTCTCATGTCTGTCCATTTCATTTACTTATTTCTAAGTGTACATGCTGTTCTCTCATGCTTAAAGATCCTCCAGACCTTTTGTAATGTTCAGAGTACTCTATGCTTCTAAACCCATTTCAATCAACTTATAAGTCTATTTTATGAACACTTTGTATAATTTATGCTAGGTGTTCCATAGAGGAGAGAGATTAACCTTTTGAAAAGATTCATAGGCCACACATGACCACAGGTAGACTTCTAGTATTTCTTGATTGAAAAAAATAATGATACTCCTTTATAAGTAAAATACCTCTGCTGTTTTTCAGAGTCCTGAATGCATAGTAGGAAAATGATTTGAACACACTTATGTCACACATTAATTTTTCCATGTTTTCCTGTGGGGAAAAAAATTCTCAATTAGATCTTATTTCCATAAAAATAACTCTACTTGAACTACTTTATCGCCTATATTTTCAGTATGTTGACTAATTATTTGCTGAACAAGGAAATAAATTATTTAATTTAATTATTAAGAGTAAAATAAAGACATGGTGTGTGTGCGTGTGTTTAACTATAATTATATATGGGCCAAAACACTTTGTGGAAGTTAAAACAAAACGGTACTATACAGACACGTGGAAAGGAACTCCTTGACAAGGCCCTCAAATAATAAACCACTACAATTGCTTTTCAAATTTTAAGGCACATATAAGTCACATGGAGATCTCATTAAAGTGCAGAATCTGACTCAGTGCATATGAAGGTAGACCAAATATTCTCAAGTGATGATAACGCTGCTGGTCTATGGACCACACATTGAGTAGCAGGGGTCTAGTCTGCCTGGATTTAGCTAACTTCATTTCCTCTGTACCTAAATAGAGTTCTTTACTGAGGCATCAGGGGGGGTAATGTCAAGAATCAAATATCAGCCTAGGTATTAATATAGATTTAGTGAATACTGTTTTAGTTCACTAGCAAAATATCCAAGCTACATCTCCCAATCACTGAGTGACTTTAATCGGCCTCCCAGACCGCCTCAGAATTCTCCTGTGCATTATTCTCTTTGGTCCAGAGATTTTGAAACATTTTTTTCTAAATTTTATGTGGCTCTTTCTCCATCACTAAAGGTACCCATAATCTATGAGTTGTTGAATAAATGATTCAACAAATATTCTAAAAGGCAAAGTCTTTCTGCACTTCTCTGTAAGTCACTCATTGCTGCTGTAGTTACTACCCTGCTTCATAGTTCTTGATCTTCCTGATTGCATTGTCTAATTCCAAACAACAACCTAAATCTCATATTTTAGAAGGTAACATCATTTTTTTTACCCAAGTAAGAAATGATTCCCTGTTCTCTCTATAGGAAAAGGGAGAGGTAATGTATTTGCTCTATGATTTGGGATAGGAAAGATTGGCTCTGGGTCTCATTTTGGAAAATCATCACTCCTCAAAACCCAAGTAAATCCTTCTCACATTGGTTATCTTCCTTTCTACTTTAATATATTCTACTGATATCAAATGCCCCATAGTAGAGCAGCTGATTATGGAGAACTGGCAAAGGAACACAGTCATCTCATTCAATCCCTAGATAAGGTATGAATTTTCTGGTTTGGCTATCTATTGATCAAATAGTTCTTGAGCATCTTTCTTGTTCATATTCACAATTATCCCACTAATATAATAGAACATCTGAGCACTTGGCAGAAGGGGATACATTGATGCAATACACTATGATTTATTCTGTGAATTCCACTTAGTACTTGAAGTGGTAAAGTTTTCCACTAGTTATATATTTCTCCCAAAACATACCATATTCACCATACCACAACAAGGGAAAGAATTATTTTGTATTTACCTTTATTCATGGGTACTGCATAGTTTTTGGTGAAAATGATTCAATCAATTATCACTATTTTTATCATATATATCAAACCTTTGAAACCTTAAAAACAATTAGGAATATCAAGACATTCTTTAACATTGTGGAACATTTTTCAATCAGAAAACAAAAGCACAATTCTAATAGGAAAAAATTTAGGAACTTCCCCATATTCTTACCATTAATTCTCAGCCTTTTTCTTTTACTTTTTTTCCCTACCACTAATTAATCCTTTAATGTTGACTAAGCCAGAACTTCATGTTTAACCTTATTTTGTTTCTGAACTCTCTCTCCCTGTCCAATTGCATTTGATCATTACTGAAACTCTATAGTGATGACTCCTATTCCCCTGGCAGGATCTCCTGAGCTTAAACTGTGTGTCTTATTTCCTACCAGATAACTCCATCTCAATGTCTTACACACATAACAAATAAAAAAAATTCTGAAGTGTATAAGCCAAGTTTTCTTATAATCTCCAAAGTGACTAATGAGATCCACTTCTTCCTGACTGTATTCCAAGAGTTATTCTAAACCTTTTATCTCCATTACTTCTCATATCCAATAAATCATTAAGTTTTTTTGTATGATTTTTAAACATATTGAAATTTCTTGTTATTATTCACACTCTAACTCCTCCAACCCAGCCACTCATCATTTCTTTCCTGGACTTTTGCAATCTCCTCTTAAATGCTTTTTCCTTCCTTGAGGATTAACACTCTCTAATTAATCATCCACACTGCTTCTAGAGTGATCTTTCTACAGCCTGACTTTAATTTTGTCCCTGTCTAACTTCCCATCATTGAATAGCTCCCTACTAGCTATATGGTGAAATCTAATAGTTGATCATTCCGTCTTTGTTTTTTTTTTTTTTCAGCTCGATCTCCTTTTTCTTTCTAGTCTATATTTCTTCCACTCTTACAGATTTCCATTCTTTCTTCTTCTTCCATTCCTATATATGCACTATTCAACTAATGGATCCTCCCCAGTTGCCTGAGGAACACAACTTATACATTAAGACTGCTTAATTTTCATCTTTCTGTGGAAGAAGAACTGGGCCTTTTCTTGTCGCATTATCCTTTCTAAGTAGTTTCATTATAATTCCACACTGTTGAAAGATTACTTGTCTGATTTCATGGCACAGGACCATGAATATGCTCTGCCTGGCCCAGAGCATCTGCTCCTCCTACAAAATATCTCAAAATTATTCATGTGATTGTTTGCCCTGTCCATTTTAGCAACTTACATTCCATATAAGATTTAATGTGTCTTGTCATTCATGGTCAAAAATATATCTGTCTTATTATAAATTATGTATTTATATAAGTGGCTTCTGAATGAGGACCCAGAGCAGATATTTTTCTCGGATATAAATAAATGCCAAGAACAGCTGTAATCTCCTAAACAATTGGTTTGTTTGTGAATCTGCAAACAATAGTTTGTAGTTCTGTGGATCTTGAAACAGATTGTAATTTCTTCTTTGCTTCAGCACTAAAAGAAATTCAGAATCAAAAGTGTGGCTTTCCTCTGAATAGGACAGAAACTTATAATGAGGCTTTTTGTACACTAATCTTAGCTCTTATTTCACTTTCTACCATTATTTTTTAATCAGATATCTCCTAAGTTTATCTTTCCTATATTTGTATTCTTTAGGAAGAGATATAAAATTTTTAAATATGTGATAGTAGTGAATGATATTTACTTACTTTTCCCTAATTAAAATGCTCCGTGCTATGATATGCAACCACTTTTATCTTATTCCTGGTAGGGAAAATGTTTTGAACAACATGATCCATTTCCACTTCTTCGAATTATCTATGATGTGTTTACATTAAGCCTTGATCAGTGAATATCTTTATTTCTGAATATCTTTATTTTGCTTCAGCTAAGAGAAATTGGAATTAATACATTTCTTGAGATAAATTTATCATTTCTTTGTATGTAGCACATAAAACCTTTAGTTTCTGTATGCCTATCCTTGTAATTAGGATTGCTATATTCCACTGGGTTACAAAAATTATTGTTGAGAATATGAGTAAAATTTCTAGTCTGATATATTTTATTAAATTCAAGTCTT